AGGAAAGGTTATTGAATTTTATCAAATACTCTTTTATTTTCCATATTTATGTGATATATTAACTGACATATTTCCAACATTATCCTAATTAACCCGTCTTTGTATTATCATTTAGTTGTGGTAGTCTTTTGTTTTATAATGACATCAAATTATATCAACAATGTTTTCTTTAATATCTTAATAATTACATTTATCAGTTATATTGTTCAATAGTTTTCTTTTTCTGTATTCCTTTAAATCGGGTTTGAATATAATACTTGGGAAATTCTTTCTCTATGATTTGGAAAGATTTTTAAGTATGAATTATACTTTGAGGGCATAAAAAAACTCTGCTTTAGGAAACTTTATAGTTATATTTGATTCATAGCTTCTTTTCCATTTCTGTCTGTTTTGGTTTTCTACTTTATGAATCAGTTTTAATAATTTATATAAATATCAGGTTTTTAAAAAACATATGCTGTAAAGTTGTTTATATTTTTATTGAGAATTCCCTTACAGAAAATATCATTTGGAAGAGCTCATGGAAAATTTTGTTTGATAGACAAGCACAATATTTTTTTTTCTTTTTTTTTCTTTTTTTTTACTTTAAGTTCTGGGATACATATGCAGAACATGCAGGTTTGTTATATAGGTATACATGTGCCATGGTAGTTTGCTGCACCTGTCAATCCACCATCTAGGTTTTAAGCCCTGCATGCATTAGGTATTTGTTCTAATGCTCTCCCACCCCTTATCACCACCCATTGACAGGCCCCAGTGTATGATGTTCCCCTCCCTGTATCCATGTGTTCTGATTGTTCAATCCCACTTATGAATGAGAACTTGCAGTGTTTGGTTTTCTGTTCCTGAAGCACAAACTTCTTTAAGAGCAGCTAGTGACAAGCAGGATACATCAATACATACATTATACAATATAATGAATCAATATTGATACATTACTATTAACAAAAGTCTATACTTTATTCAGATCTTCGTTTTTATGTAAAGCCATTCATCTGTTCCAGGATCCAATCCAAGATAGCACATTATATTTAGTTGTCATGGTTTTCTAGGTTCTTCTTGCTTCTGACAGTTCCTTAGACTTTCCTTGTTTTTTATTATCTTTATGGTTTTGAGACATACTCTTCAGGTATATTGTAGGATGTCCCTCTATTGGGATTTGTTTAATTGTTTTTCTCATTACCAGACTGGGGTTATGGGTTTTGCAGGAAGACTGCAGAGGTAAAGTACAATTCTCATCACATTATATCAAGTATCCATCCTATCAGTATGATGTGTCAGTGTTGATGTTAATCCTCATCACTGTCTGAGGTAGTGTTTGTCAGGTTTCTCCACAGGCAAGTTACTCTCTTTTCCCATTTTCTAAACTGAACTCTGAAAGAAAGTCACTATGATCAGTTCCCATTTAAGAAGTGAAGAATTCTACTCCTCCTTCAGAGTAGAGTATCTACAGAAACTGTAGGAATTCTGCATCATGTTTCTTCTTTCCCCCATTTATTTATTTATTCAATCACATATTTATTTATATGAGTATGGGCTCATGGCTATTAATTTTATACTTTGGGTTATAATCCAATACTACAATATTTTGCTACTCAAATTGTTCCATCTTTGGACATTAGGAACTCTTTCAGTTGGCTCCTGTCCCTGACACATCCCCATCAATGTGGGATTTATTTGAGTTCCTTACCTTCCAGAATTACACGATGCTCTAGGATCATCTAATATATTTCCTGAGCCTAGAATCAGCCATTTTTCCAAGGAGTCCTGGTTCCTGTTATTGTAGAATGACACTAGAAACCAATATCTAGGCTGAAGATGTGCTTATTGCTTGAGGTGTTGTTTTAGGCATTCTCAGCTGGCAAAGCAAATAAATATATATATATAGGTAAACTAACTCCTGAATATTCATACATCCATAAATATTTCTATACGTAACCATCCGTATTTATATTAAGCTAAAACTGATGTTCCCAACTCTAATCTATTATCATAAGGATTACATCCTCCTCTCATTGCTTATCTGTATATAGCCACTTCAAAAATGAGGAACCTGGCTCCTATCATCCACTTCCATTTAAATAACTGTTTAATTGCAGTATACATGTATAGCCATGTCAGAATTGGTAATGTAAATCAACAACTTTATTAACTAGAGCACAGCACCTATGTGCAGTTTCTTCTATTGTTAGATTTTTAACCTTGCAATTCCAAAGTTATTTAGGTCGGCACCTTTTCCCCAGCCTTTCCAGTGAGATTGTTTCATATAAGTGTAATGCAGTTAGATTCTCTTCTCACAACCTTCATTCCTTCCTGGTAACCACCAACCTGCTAAATAACATATTTTTTTCCATTCTTCACAGCACATTTATTTCAGTAATTTTGTTATATCGGTTCTTAGCATGAGCATAGTGTTACACGATTTTTGTACCTATAATCACATCCAAAACAAGTTCAAAACTTTAAATTGTAAACATTCTCATCATATGTAGAAATATTTTAATTAGTGTATTAAGTTTTGCTAACTGATAAAATTTGGAAGATATCATAAAAGAATGTCTATTCTTAATCGTGTAGTGAGAATTATTTGTTAATTACATTTCTACAATGTTAAATAAAGAGACAAATCTGCTCTGAAAGCATGTCAAATTTTAGGTAAAACGTTAAAAACAAACAAATCTGTTAACAAATGAATGTCTGCAATAAAGAACATTAGATTTTCAAAATATATTGATACAAAAATGTAAAGGGTAAATAGTATCTTTGTTGACAAAATAGGAGGCAGCACGGATTCACCACTTTGTCTGAGAAATGCAACGGGAGTGAAGAATATTTCCTTACCACAAATAATTTTCCGGATGATGTACATATTACTTTTTGAAATATTTGTTTAAGCAAATGTCCCTCCACTTTTTAGTATTGAAAAAGCCATTCCATGTGATTTTTTAAAAAACACTTTTACACATCTAGATAAAATGTGTAAAATGTTTGTATGTATTTAGAACATACAAACAAAATATAATAGCTTATTTTTCTATGCAAGTCTTACGGAGAATAAACAGAGCCCTGATTCTGGTAACACTGCAGAAAACATAATTTTCCAATGTGAATAGTATTTTTTAATATGGTTTACATTGTTTCCCTCTTTGTGTTGTAAAGTTCTGTAGGTTTTGACAAATGCATAGTGTCATGCGTCTAACATTACAGTATCATATAAAATAGTCGTACGGTCCTAAAAACCCTCTGTGCTACACTACTCAAATCTCTGCCCTATCCTCTGAACCTTTGGCAACCACTGATCTTTTAACTGTCTCTATAATTTTGCCTTTTGTAGAATGACATACAATAAAAATCATGCAGTATGTAGCCTTTTCAGACTACCTTCCTTCACTTATCAGTATGTATTTAAGGTTCATCCATGTCTTTTTATGGCTTGGTAGCTTGCTCCTTTTGATTGATGAATAACATCGCATTGTATGGATATTCCACGATTTGTTTATCGCTTCTTTAAGAACATCTTGGTTTCTGGAGAATATGAATAAAGATGCTATAAACATTCATATGATGGTTTATTGCAGACATGTTTTAAAATCAATTGGGTAAATATATAAGAACATGGTTGCTGGATTGCATGGTTAAATGATATTTAACTTTGTAAGAATCTGCCACACTGTCTTCCAAAGTGACTGAACCATTTTTTATTCACCAACAATGAATGAAAGTTCCTGTTGCTGCACATCCTTACTAGCATTTGGTATTACCAGTTTTTTGGACTTCAGCCGTTCTAATGGGAGTGTAGTGGTATCTCATTGTTGTTTTAATTTGTATTTCCTTAATGATAAAAGACATTGAACGTTTTTCCTTTTCTTTTGACCTCTGAATATCTGCTTTGCTGGGTGTTTTCAGATCTTTTGCTCACTTTTAACTGACTTGCTTGTTTTCCTTTTATCTTTTTTTTAAATTGTTGAGTTTCAAGAGTTCTTTGTACACTTTGGGTGTAAGCCCTTGCAAAAATGTTTTGCAAATATTTTCTCCCAGTATGTGATTTGTTTCTTTATCTTAAAAGTGTCTTTTGCATGGCAGAAGTTTAAATTGTTTTTTCTTTTATGAATTGTGATTTAGGTGTTGTATCTAAAGTCTCCTTGCCAAACCCAAAGCCACCTAGATTTTTTTCCTGTATTTTCTTCTAGGCTGCTTATTTGTGTTAAATGGATTTAGATCAGCCAGGCAAGAGTAGGGTATCCCATTCTTGTTGATATGATTTTAAAGAGAAAACTTTCTGACAGTCTATGATTTAAAAAAAATTTTTTTTCTCAGTAAAAGTGCAGCTATGAAAGAGGTTGTTCTGACTCAACAGCAGCAGCCTGACCTTGGGAGAAAAGTTGTTTCCTGTTAACTTTGCAGCTGGTTTTATCTGTGACTGTTTTTTGTGTGTCTGCTTTAATTTGCACAATGAAAGGACAGTCTAATGTTTTACTTTTCCAGAGGGAGCAGATATTTTGCTTCCTCCCCACACAAGCTCACCACACAATGCAGGGTTCTTAGCCTGCATCGACTTGATCATAAACTCCGGAAAAGACAGATATTGGTCAATATTTCCTTCCAAAAGTGGAGATGATAAAGTAGAAGTATAGAAATCCTAAAGTCCAGACCTTCCTTGTTCAGCCAGGTTTTGCTCCTTCTCCACACACCTTTGTTCTTTTCTCCAGCTTCCAAGGAATCTCACAAAGGGAGTGGGACACAATGAACCTATTCTTTCTTGCTTTAAATCCAATTCCACGTAGTCACGGACACTGTTGGGCAGGATCTCTGGCTTGGTGGAAAGTGGGGCGTGCTGCCTAAAGTGATTAGTTTGGAGACCTTCTCTGTGCCGTCGGTATGGGAATGCCAGCTGTGTGTGCTCTGGGTGCGGAGCGGAGTCGCCAGGCCACACGCAAGCCTCCACATCCTCAGCTGGCCCGGGGCTTGGATCCTGGCCCCGCCCCCTGCGGACCCGGCGCCCCGTCAGTTCCGTCCCCGGCCCTGGGAACTGCTCTTGACCCCTCTCTGCGTATCTGCCGGAACCTGGCTGGCAGCGCTACTTGCTGCCCCGCCAGGCCGAGTGAGGGCGGAGCCGGGCCTCCAGCCGCGAGGACTGGAGCCGCGGGAGGTGGAGCCCCGGTCCGGAAACCGGGAATCCGCGGCCATGACGGTGCCGGTACGCGGCTTCTTGCTGCTCCGGGGCCGCCTCGGCCGAGTGACGGCGCTGGACAGAAGCACAGCACCCTCCGTAAGGGCACCGGGAGAGCCCAGGAGCGAGTTCCGCGGCTTTCGGAGCAGCAGTGTGAGGTACGAGGGCTGCCGCGCCGGTTGCAGAGCCGCTGGCGGTGGGAGGGCGGCGGGGGCGCGGGCGGCTATAGCGCGCGTGGGGCCCAAGGCTTGTGGGCGGCCGCGCGGCGGCGGGCTGGGTGGAGGACCGCGTTGGCTGTGAGGTGGCTTTGCGGGTCGCGCGGTCAATTCGCGGATACCTCAGCTCGGGGAACGAAACCGTGCTCCGCTCTGGGCTCTCGCACCAGAATGTGCCATCTTTGCAGCAGGTGCAGTTGATTTAGGAAGACATTTGAGGCACTAAGAAAAGGTACCGTAAAAACACGTGGTCGGCTTTGGCTAAACATTTGTTTTTGCTTTGGTTATTTTAGTGTTTCGTAAATGAAGGAGTAGACGTTGTCCAGATGACTTACTAATGTTTGCGTTTCTGAATTCCTTTGTTAATGGTTTTGTCGAGGTCTTTTCCAACCCTAAAATTATTTATGGTTTCACAAAACCAGGTATCAATGCAGATTTCTCAGTCTTTTCATGTATGGCTGTCCCTAAACCTCTGTCAGGTGATGAGACTTAGATTCATTACATCTCTTGGGACTTGGTTGCTGGGGAAGAACCATGCAAATACAAAAGGGTACGCACTCTTCTGTCTTCTACTTTGCTTGTTTTACTTGCAAAATCCGTCTTAACAAGATGAAAATATATCTTCTTGACCCAGAGCCTGTGAGTCCAGAAGAACCTCTGTTTTCAGACTTTCAGGGCTTCCAGAAATGCGCTTTCATTGCTATTTTATGTCCGAAGATTGTATCTCACTCGAGTTTTTGTATCCCCCAGTGCCCAGCACAATCCCGAGAAAAAAGCAATGATAAACACACTGTTTATTTAATTTAAATCAATTAGCTCCCTATTGTGTACATTTAGATCTTAGTCTTGAGTGGCTGAATTTAAAAATTACTTCCTATAGCGTTTGCTTCGGACATAGTTTCTAGTGACTAGGTCTTCCACAAGGATATGTGAGAAAATAACTGAATCAGAGTTGTGTAAGCTGTAGTAGGGTGGGTAAGAATGTGCCACTTAGTTTGGAACTACCAGCTAGCTCTACTACCTAGGAAAAGCAGATTTCGTAGAATTCTATTTGTATTAAAGAATTGAGGGAGTTATTTGTCGTCACTCTAAATTACTTGTTTGTATTATTATTTTTTGAATTTCAGTTGTTTTAGGGGTGCTTTTCAGGGTGAGGATAACTTGTTTCAAATAGTACAACTTGATTAATTTCCCTTTGTCAGCTTGCTGTAAACAACTCCATCTCCCCATCTTCTCCATGACCTGCATACATTGAATGGAAGTCATTACAAACAACAGTTACAACCCCAAAATTTGATTGTAGCCACTTGCTTTGTACACACACACACACACACACACACACCCTCAACTCATGTAGAATTCAGAACTTTTAAGTAATACGTAATGACCTCCTTATAATTTAAAATAGTTGAGTGCAAAGGTTTTGGAAAGCTATTATCCCCGTGGACGATAACAGTTACTAATTTCAGCCCGGCTGCTTTCAATTCCCCTTGATGCGTATTATAATTATAAAAATAAGTAATATATTTTGATAGTTTTTATTTTTTAAAGACGGCACTAGGCAAGTTAAGATAAGGCGGGGGTTTTGACGCCCTCTTTGTACTGAATACCATCTCCGAAGGTGAGGTTGGCCCCAAGGTTGAGAAACACCTGTGGACTTGTGGGTCTCGGGTGGGGAGGAATTCGGACAGTGTGTTGATGCTTATTGGTGTCTCTTTTCTCTTCTAGGACCAGCAGAGAGAAGAGATTCCATCTTCCAGAGGTTGCCACTGTCTGCCTCCCCACTTGTCCCCATCCACAGTCATCTTTTTTATATATATAGACACACATTAGTTGTCTAGTTCTTCATAGTTAATGTGATTTAAGTCTGACATCATTTCTTTTGCCATGAAATTTACACCTTAGTGTTACTCTCACTGAAAATTGCCTTTAAGTTTGATAAACTCTTATCCCAGTGATATTGACTGTTTTAAATTAACAGATTTGTCACGATTTCTGAGCTATGTAGAGCCTTAATTGAAAAAGTATCTTTGATTATTTTTCATATTTTGGCCACATACCTATAATAATGGAATATTTACAATGCTTTTTAGTGGAGAATTTTTTTAAGTAGAATTTCAATAAATAATGTTTGATGGAGTTTGGAAGTTACCGTATTTTGAAGTATCATTTAACATTTTCCTCTCAATGAGTTTTCCTTTAAAATTTGCAATGAATTTGTTTTCCTGTTTATGCATGAGAATTTAGGTCTTATTAATTGGGGGAAATTAATGTTAAAGTAGTAAATAAGCCCTTCTTGTTGCAGCTTATTGTTTCTTGAAATGAATTAACTATCCAGGCAAAAGGTTAAAAATGAAAAAAAAAGTCTTTGTAACTAAATTCTTCCCATTTTGTTGTGGTGTGTGAGCAGTTTACAAATCAAAATGTCCTTGGTTAAAAGTCATCACCTGAGTTTGTGCGCAGTGCTTTTCAGTGTGAGAAGCCTGGTAGCAGCCCATCCCATTTGGGTGGGAAGGTTATAGACCTTGCCATGCTCAAAGCAGATTTGTAGGTATCCTGCAATATGGGCACTTTCACAAACCCCGCTTTGGCTTATTCTACCTGAACTACTTATTTTAATTAACTAAATGGATATCTCAAGCATTCCATGTTTATCCTGTTGCTCAGTGAATCCTCTGATCGTTAATTTGGTAGATTCTCTTTTTTCTCCTCATCCTATTCTTTTAGCTTTAAAAAAAACTGTGTACTGCCTACAGGTCTTTTGGAAGTTTCACCTTTCTCTTTGTCGCACTGGCATCGGCTTTATAATTTTTGCAGCTAGACCACATTTTTAAAAAATCTACATTTTTGGACCTAGTAAAAGATACTTATTTGTTTTATTTAAGTGTTCATGTCTTTTACCATGGGTAGTTAAGTTTAATAATTAAAAAAGACACACTTTATCAGTAACAATGTTCATTTTTTTTCAGACTCTTCCCTCTACTACTTACTCTGTATTTCTGTCTCTTCTAATGACTAGGAAAGGCCGTTTCTCAAAATCATCTTCTATTTAGTTGGCAAATTTGATAATGTGGTGGTGTTCCTATCTTCCTGCTATACCTGTTCTACTGAAAATGAGATATAATAGCCATCTGGCTACAATTTTGATTTCCAAGAAATTCTTATGTCATTTTAAATTCAAAAACTAAATATTTCAACATTTGATCTCATAAGTTTTCTTTGTTCCAGCTGTTTAGAAATAGTGTGTTCTAATATTTCCACAATCAAGATTTTTGACTAAAATGGATCAGTAGATGAAAAAGAGGGACTAGTAGTAATTTTAGATCTCGTTAGTTAATCATGATCTTACTAATAATTTGGCAATTTCTTTAATGACCCAAATCTTTGTTGTTCAAATGCCTTGAAGTTGTTATTCTTTCATATTAGTACTCTGATGGGAGGATGAAAACAGCAGAAAGGAGCAACACCAGATGATCTTTCCATGGGCACATACTCTTTCAAGGAATCCCACGGAACTCGTGAAATTACGCTTTGGCTTAGAGATAATTAAGTTGTGGAGGGAGGTTTAAGAGAGGAGCTTGGGTGAAATTTGAGCTGTAAATGAGTATGCTAAATTAAAGAAATGATTAGTAATAAGTGATATTTGCTGTTAAGAAATTCACTTGGGATTTGAGAAGACATTGTACATGCAAGGTAGAAAACTTTATGGTCAGAATAGAACACAATCTGAACCTAAATTAACAGTAGTGTTAAAGAATTCAGGGCAGGGTATTATCCAAGAAGGCTTAGCCAGCTGCTCCACTTAAGGTTACATCATAAGTGGTTTCTGTGTTGCTATTGTTTTTATTAGCATTTCAATGACTGCATCATGTTATATTAAATCAATTGGCCCTAACTTACCTAACCATCTTGCTGTTTTTTAATGTCTAGTTCTTGGAAAATATGTAATAATTTACTCTCAGATTGAGGTCATGTTCTTGTCAACATCATACCAACCAGGTTTGTTCACTTCATCATCTGAACTCTATGTAGGTTTCTATAATTAGGCTCATTAGAGTGTTCCTAGATCCAAAGACTATCTAAAGATCTAAAGATTCATAATTCTAAAGTGAGGGCGTGTGTATAGTTTGCAACAGATGTTCTCTCCCCACTTTTTTTTTTTTTTTTTTTTTTTGCTGTTTGTAATTAACTGGAACTGCAATGAATGCCATCATGCTTTTAAGGAATTCAGTTGTATTGTTGAAAAAGACATTTTTCTTAATATCTAAGGAGCTCTTGATGTTAAGCACTTTGCTGAGATTTTGCACATACAGTATGTCCTTCCATCCTCACAACAACTAAAGGAGGTAGATAGACACTATTACTATCTATTTCCAGTTAACAGATTGAGAAATTGAGGCTTAAAGAAATTAAACTTGTCCAAGTTGACACAGTAAATACATGGTGAAGACAAGGCCTGAACCCACATCATCTTTCCAGTGTTCTTCTCTACAGGCAGTTTATAATTATTGACTTATCTCACTTTTGCTTTTTCTTCTTTTTGAAACATTTATTAATATTAAATCTCATAGAACTTTTGTGAATCTCGAAAGCTAATTTGCATGTATATTTTACAAATTATTTTGTTAGATTCCCTCAGTTTGAGATGTTCTTAACCTAGGACCTTATGGATAGAATTCAGGGGATTCATAAACTTGGATTGGAGGTGACTAACTTCTAATTAATTTAGCTTTTCTTTTTTCCATTGTCAGTGTTGGCAACAAATACATAATATCATTAGTACATGTGACTTGCTAATATAATTTACAAATACTTCAGTATCACGAAGTTGAGGCAGATACCACAAAACATCATCTGCACATCACTATTTTGTTATGGTAGTTAGACCTACCACTAGATTCTGTTATTTAATACTTTTTAAAAAAAGCATTTGATAGTATTTCAGTAAAATTGGTTTTCCTTGTACTTTGTATTTTATATTGAATGTTTAAAGGGATTGTTCTGGGAAAGAGTCCACAGGTTTCAGCAAACAGGCCAAGAGCTTTTGTGGCACAAAGCTTAGCATCTAAGGTTCTTTCTGACAAAGTTCGTTTGAAAATGAATGGATATTGTTTAAGTAGTACAGAGTCAGAAAGTTAACTAATTAAAAAACTGAGTATCAAGAAGAGTCATATTTAATGAAAATAAGTTATTTTACTTTTTATTGATTTGCAAATGTAATTTCTAGTAAAATTACTTCCAGATGTGAATATGGTACTTGGGGTATGAAACGAATTTTTTTTAAAGAGGCCATAAACGTAACACAGGTATACATTTATTTTAACAAGATACCTCAAAAGACTCCCTATACTGGTGATTGGTTTTATTCCCTATGGAATTTTGCCGTTTTTGGGGGGTTTCATTTCTCTTGTGCAAACTCAAAATACCAAAGATATGCCCTAAGATGTAAAGCAATTAAACTGTATGTTAGGTCCTGGGTAGAGCTTGGAATTGTCAGTCATTGTATTAGGATTTTTCATCTTTATAGAGATAAAATGGTTCATTGCAGCTCTAGTTGAAGTTGTGAATAAAGATGAGATTGAAACTAAGATGTAGATATTTCAAGTATACGAATTATAAAGATGTAGATTTTTCAAGTATACAAATTAAATAAACTATTGATCTTGACTAAGTTTTATTTGTTGTTATGCTACTTTTTTGTGGAAGAGTATTTTGATACATAGAAATAATCCCCCCCCTTTGTTACTTTGCTCTAGTTTATTAAATACATCATTTGATTCTAACAAGCATAGATAAGGTGGTTAGTTTATTTTCTGGAAGTACAAGTAAACAAGCCCATGGAAACAGCACTAAGTGCTGAAGACTTTCTGCCTCATAATGTTTCTGGTTATCGAAATATGTTTCCATCTGTTATTTAGCAGAAACTAGCAGAAAGAGCCACTTTTGCAAACCAGCCAATGAACTTTTAGCTAAATCCTCTTATGTAATGTAAGGTCAACAAGAGAGTATTCCTATTAAGTAGATGAAGAAATTGCATGCCGTTGAGAGAAGCTAAGTTGCTTGCCTAACTTTATTATTGCTACTAATGGTGACCCAGAGCTCTGATGCTCAGGACTTCTGATTTCAGGTGAGTAATTTGTACTACATAGTGCTGCCCTGCTGCTCACTAGCTGCCACCTCCCTTCTTTAATTTTTGCCTCCTGATGAAGCCATATTTCATGGCTAGCCCAGCAGTAGGCAGGGCTCCTTTTCTTGCAGCCTTTGGGGGAAGGTCGTTTCTGCCTTTGTGGGAAACCACCTGAGCAAGTAATGACAGGGCACATCATGTAAATAATATCTAAGGGGTCAAATGGATTTTGTTTTGATATGTCAAGGTCACTATATAATTTGTTGACCAAACTAGCACATTTTTTAGAGTAAAAAGGGGCATGAATGTAATGAAAATTATATATCTGGAATATTTATTGGCTTACAAATATATTAATGAACTTATAGTTTCAAACCATTTTCAAAATTAACATTTTAAGAGATAATTTATGTCCTTATATGCTAAAATAAAAATTTATATTACATGAATATTCAGCATGAATAATTATTCCTGGTGCATATTCACTTACTTGAATCAATTTCTTAGCTGTATCTTTTAACACCTTGATACTGATAATTTTCTGAAAAAAGTTAATAAGATCTTATGCTTTATTATTATTATTATTTTTGAGATGCAGTCTTTCTCTGTCACCCAGGCTGGAGTGCAGTGGCGTGATCTCAGCTCACTGCAACCTCCGCCTCCTGGGTTCAAGCAATTCTCCTGCCTCAGCATCCTGAGTAGCTGGGACTACAGGCGTGCGCCACCACGCCCAGCTAATTTTTGTATTTTTAGTAGAGACAGGGTTTCACCATATTAGTCAGGCTGGTCTTGAACTCCTGACCTCATGATCTGCCCCGCCTCGGCCTCCCAAAGTGCTGGAATTACAGGCATGAGCCACTAGGCCCGGCCCTTATGCTTAATTTTAAAATTAAATTTTCTGCAGTTTTCTTAACAGTTGCAAATAGAGTCTTTGCTTTAGACAATGGTTATTTTAGTTTTAAAAGTACTGTCTCTATAGATGCTGAAGCACACATAAATTGCTAAATGGAACAGTCTTAATTCTACGTTTTGCACATTGAAATGGGAAGATATTTTAGCCTAAATATTTTCAAAGGTGCTATCTTGGTGTATCTTTTCAAAGTACTTTTCTTTGACAAATACTTACATAAAAGTCATCAAATAAGTTGTTTTTGTGTACGGTTTTAAAACTAGTTTGCCATATTTAGATATGGGAAAATTAAAGTTTTTCTCAATTATATTCCAACATTTTGCAAAATAGTAATTTATTCAATGAAATTTTATTCAGTAAAAAATATGAGCTCCATTAGAAGATTCTTTTCAGACATTGAACTATTAATTGCCATTATAGATGTATTTATTTACTAATTCTACTGTACACAAAGTTCCACAAACTAGCTGGCTTGAAACAGCAGAAATCTGTTTTCACACTTCTGGAGGCTGGAAGTCTGAAATCAAAGTATCTGTAGGCCCATGCTCTGTCGACTAGCTTCTGGTTATTGCCAGCAGCCCTTCGTGTTCCTAAGGAGTTTGCAGCTGCATAACTCCAGTCTTTGCTTTTGCCTCTGTTGTCAAATGGTTGTCTTCCCTCTCTGTCTTCACTTCCCTTCTGTGTGTATGGGTCTCTGTGTCTCTTCTCGTAAGGACAGAAATTAAAATTACTTGTGCATTGTTTGAGCTATCATTTTTTAAACTGGTTTACTTCTTCCCTTCTTTTTGAAGAGATAACGTTTCTGTTTGTAAGCTTTGGTTTCACTGATTACAATTCAATAAAAACTTTAAATCTGAAGGTGTCCTTACCCCCATTTAGTCTATTTGTTGAATATGTTGCTTAATAGTTTCCAACAACTTTTGAAAAAAATGCAACCAGTGTTGCCCATCCCAGTGCTAGGCCAGCCCCCACAGACACAGCCTGTAGGCTACTCCTTGCAGACCCAGGCTCTAGGCCTGCACTAATGCCGGGGCAGCATCCTAGGATTCCAGCTTAGCCACTGCAGACTTAGGCATCAGGTAGAAACTCATGGACCCGCACTCTAAGCCTGCCCCAGTACCAGGTCAGCCTCCATAAATTCAGGTCCAAGCCTGTCCCCAGGGACCCAAACTCGGGACCCAACCCCATGGTTCCAGGTACGAGGTCTTCCCCTGCAGATCTAGGCACCAGGCCCATTCCAGGGGACCCTGTGCCAGCCAAGTCCCTACAGACTTGGGACCAGGACCATTCCAGTGCCAGGCTGGTCCCCATGGGCTCAGCCTCAAGACCTACCCCAGTGCCGGGATGGTCCCTTTGAACCTAGGCTTCAGGTCTGTGTTTGCAGGCCCAGGCTCCAGGACTGCTCCTATATACCCAAATGACAGCCCATCCCAGTGGACCCACACACCAGATTAGCCCCCTGTGAGTTGAAGTATTAGACCCACCACCTGCTGACCTAGGCATCACCTGCCAACCAATCCAAGGGATTTAGCAACAAGCCCACCCATGGACCATGCCGGATGGCCCATCAAGAATCTCTAGACCCACTGACTGGTGAAAGGCTTTCCCTACTGAAGCCAGCTTATAAAGACTGGAATAGATGCCTACTTCTTCAAGTGATAGACACCAATGAAAGGCCACAAAGATTATGAGCCATTAGGGAAACATGGCACCACAAAAAGAACAAAATAAAGTAACAATTGACATAAAGAAATGGAGAGCTACAGGCTGCCTATCCAGAGAACACAGACAACTAGACAATATCAATGATTTAAAATACTTCAAAAGGGTAAAAACAAGGTACTGTGGGAGCTCATAGCAGAGTCCCAGGGTACAGGGTTCGGAAAACATTACCAGAGTGTTTTACGAGCTGAGACTTGAGCAATGTGTGGGACAGACTTGGAAAAGTGGTTGGAGAGGTGAGAAAGAGAAGAAGGAGTTTCAGGCAGAGGGAAAATTATATGTGAAGGCCCAGAGAGAACATGGTACAGTTCATGAATTAAAATATGACTGGTGTGTAGTATGCGACTCACTAAGCATAGTGTTCTTTAGCAATGAGGCTAAAGTAGCTTATGCAGAACTTTGTAACCCATAGGGAATTTGGATTTTAGTTAATTTTCCCAATTTCTCATGTCAAAAATGTTGGAGTCATGTTTGCCTTCTGTTTTTCTTTTTTTCATATCCTACACCCAATCTCAGTAACTCCCAATGGTTCCACTCTCAAAATAGATTCAGAATCAGACTACTTAGCTCCTCCAAGGCTACCCCTTTGCCTAACTCCCCATCATCCCTTGCCTGTTATACTATACTAGCTTCTTAGCTGGAGTCTCCATTTCTCCACTTGATCTCATAGAGTCTATCCTCCATATTTTCACCAGTTATTTTAAAAATGAAAGTCACGTCAAAATCTCTGAATGGCTTCCTGTCTCACAGTAAAAGCCAACATCCTTTCAAAGGCCTGCAGGGCCTTATGTAATCTGATGTCCCGCTCCTTCTCTGACTTCATGTCTTATCCCAGTTCACTTGTTCTTTCCACTGCAACCATTGACTTGTTGCTATTTCTCAAATATTTCAGGTATGCTCCTTGCTAAAGGCCTCCATACTTGCTGTCCACTTCCCTTGGCTTAGAATGCTTTTCTCCCAGAAATCTACATGACTTATTTCATTTCCTTCATTTCTGCCCACATGTTACCTGATTTATCAGAGAAGTGATACCTTAACCCACCCATATAAAATAACTCTGGCCCTCAGATAAGTTGTTTCTCTGCCTCATGTCACACATGATATATTAAATACCTGTTGTTTTTCAATATGCTTATATCTTCTTCAACTAGAATATTGTTTCCATAAAAGTAGGTAATGGTTTTGCGCCCTATTATTTATATGCCCAGTGCCTAAAATAGTTTTCAGTGAATAGGAGGCTTTCAACATGTGTTTATTAAGTGAATAAACAATTAGCATGTGGAGAGGAGTTTTAACCAGGGAGATGATGTAATTGAATTAGAAAACAATCACTCTGGCTGCAGTATGGAAAATGGATTAGAGGAGATCAAGACAAGCCAGAGAGAAATTTTAGGAAATGTATTATTCAGTGGCTGAACATTTGAATTGTTGCTGATGTTTAACCTATTTAGCTTTTCAAGAATTTTCATGTTGAAAATCTAATTTGTTTATGTGCTAAAGTAATGAGAATGTATGAGTTGACCAGTTCTTCCAGCACATGGACTGATACAGGCACTCTCCCATTGGACCTGCATTAATTTGAGGTTGCTTCATTTTTCTTCTTATAGTGACTCCTACGGAGCTAGGCTTGCTGAGTTCTACAGTGACTGATGGAGTCAGCTGGAGGGGCCAGTTGCTACTAAAAATGCTCAGAAACCTAACTCCTAATTTACCCATAAACACCAGCTAGCCAGGCTGTATCACGTCTGCTATAATTAGTTAGCAAGCTGACTTAGCACCTCAGTGCTATAATTTAAAGTAAACCCTGAACAGTCTTAGACATGAGTATACATGGTACAGTTAAGTTTAATCTGTATAAAGGTGTCTCTTTGGAGTCTGGGAATCCGTTTATGCTACTGGTCTTCTCTGACAC